GGAAAATAAGTATATATAATCTGCTTCACTCAGAAACATTTGAAAATTGGGATGCAAGCACGACTATGTTTTGAGCAATCAAATACATTGGATAGATCAGTATAAACATAGGTCTGAAATTTCAACACAACACCGACCTTTCTAAATGCAATATGTTGTATATCTTTGTTGTTGTTGTTAATTGCGAAGTCGTGTCCGACCCATCGCGACCCCATGGACAACATTCCTCCAGGTCTTCCTGTCCTCTACCATTTTCTGGAGTCCGTTTAAGTTCACACCTACTGCTTCAGTGACTCCATCCAGCCATCTCATTCTCTGTCGTCCCCTTCTTCTATTGCCCTCAATCTTTCCCAGCATTAGGCCCTTCTCCAGTGAGTCCTTCCTTCTCATTAGGTGGCCAAAGTATTTGAGTTTCAACTTCAGGATCTGGCCTTCTAAAGAGCAGTCGGGGTTGATCTCTTCTAGGACTGACCGGTTTGAACGCCTTGCAGTCCAAGGGACTCGCAGGAGTCTTCTCCAGCACCATAGTTCAAAGGCCTCAATTCTTTGGCGCTCAGCCTTTCTTATGGTCCAACTTTCACAGCCATACATTGCAACTGGGAAAACCATGGCCTGGACTATACGCACTTTTGTTGGCAGGGTGATGTCTCTGCTTTTTAGTATGCTGTCTAGATTTGCCATAGCTTTCCTCCCCAGGAGCAAGCGTCTTTTAATTTCTTGGCTGCAGTCCCCATCTGAGGTGATCTTGGAGCCCAGAAAAATAAAATCTGTCACTACCTCCATTTCTTCCCCATCTATTTGCCAGGAATTCAATGTATTCAGATTTTTAAATATTATACATACAAAATGTGTTAGAAAATTGTTGACATTTTGATTATACTGAACTATTAGAAGCTTTGTTTTCTGGGATATTCATATTGCTAAACTCCAGGCTTTATGTGCTCAATTAGCACAGCTTTCCTTATTGCACCACTAAAATAGTTTTCTTCTGAATCCTCTGAAAATGTTTTATTGGTAATCTTACTTAAATAATTTAAGGTTGCTGCCATATAATAACAGTTTAATTTTTAAAAAGTGTTTATTGAACACTTTTTTCTGACTTCTATTTGTGCTAGTTATAATGTGATAGTTTGCAATCTTACTAGACTTTCTTCAAATGCTTCCAGAAAATATAAATTGCACTAATTAAACCTACCCAAATCTGAAAATGGCAGAAAAAAACATATATTTAGGCTTATGATTTGTTCTAGTATTTTTAATATGGAAAATACTGAAACGGCTATAGTGTAAGTGATTAAGCAAATCTCTGAAAACGTTATCAAAGAGGCAATGGGAAAGAATGGCTGAAAAAGGAGAATATAGCAAGAAAATCCCTAGGTGAATGTGCAAAGAAATCTCTTATCAACTGTTGTGCCATCTCCTATTGTATACTGAGAACTATTCTTAAATGTTTCTAAGAAGCAAGATGAAGCCTATTCATCAAATAAATAAAACCAAATTGTGAAGAAACAAAAGCTTTCTATACATATACATACAGACAAAATGACTGCAAGAACCAGTCCTATAAAATCTGAAAATTCCATTTCATCTCCGGATGAAATTCTAAAGCGAAATGGAGTGGTGACAGTCCTAGAGAGTTCCATGCACCCTTCAGGCTGAAGATTTGACAGGATTCAGAGGAGGTGGGTTCAACAAGTAAATCCTACCCGAGACTTCAACTAAGTCATAGTTATATCTGGCTGGTTTAGTTAAGAGAAAACTCTTCATCTGAAAGTATTTTGCCTGCTTCACCAGCTTCAATACAGATGACATTAGGGTTCCACTGGGGCTTCTGGGTTAAATTTTTCAGAACTTAAGGACAACAGCATAGCATCCACAGACTAAAGAGATGTTGATGAAGAAGAATCCTTTCTTAAGCTAGAGTTCCTGGCACAGGCATGTGTATGTGCATGTGCATATTCTATGTGTGCATGTGTGCATTTGTGTAAGAGAGAGAGAGAGAGAGAGAGAGAGGGAGGGTGGGATGGAGGGAGGGAGGAATTAAGACTAATTCTGAGAACAATTCCTTTACCAACTTTAATATTACAGATATCTCCAAATCTAGATCTTTATTATTAATTATAGCTGGCTAGATTCTGGGGACAAAGTTTTGGGTTTTAAAAATACATTTGGCTTGGAACTGACTGTTCAATGGAGAAAATAAAACATGAAAACTGGGATAATAGTGGTAGAACAGAATGGTAGAAATCAGCATACAAGTGTTTTATGGTGCAATACTTTTTCACTCCAAAGTAAAGTATTTTATTTGTGAAAAGCCCAAGACAAGAGTCTTTTATCTTATTGACAAGGGATCTAATACACTCCATCAGTGGCTAGCAGAGTAAGTTATTCTTCTCACTTATTCATAGTGTACATTTATGAAAATTAGTTAGAATATCTATTGCAGGAACAATGATTCAATGAAAATGCTAGTCTCTTTCAGTGTTCTTTTCATCAGTGTCACAGCAAGGAAGCTTCTGTTCTCTGACTTTAATCTTGACATTTTTCTTATCTTAAAAAAAAAAAAAACCCACAAGCCTCACAAGCAACCTATGTAGGTAATCCTAATGTTCAAGTAATCTGTTAAGAGCTTAATGATGCTCCTAGACCCAGTTCATTCTGAAGAGATAAGATTGACTTTACATGTCATGTAAAGTAGAATACTTTCCATAGGAGAGAGAAAGGGAATTCCCTGTGCCAAAGTCAAATTTTTATAACCATGAGGATAGACTAATAAGATATACTACAGTAGTAACGCTGTGAAAGGTTACAAGGAAGGTTCCACTTATGTAGAATGTCACTGCATATATCCAAGTACAGACAAGAGAACACACTGTTAATTTTGCACAAGGTATGCAGAATATCCTCTGAACCCAATTATTAACTTGAAAACTTTTTATGGTCAGAAATCTATATCTATACAAGAGTTTGTATTCCTGTAGAACCTCAGCCACTGCTTATGTTTTGCAGAGCAAAATCTGCCCAAAATGAGGACATGTGTGGCAAAGGCCATGAATTTCACTTTAGCTGTTTCTCAGTTATGTTATGAATAGGATCAGAATGGTTATTCTGAAATTCTGACCTAAGAACATTTTTGGGGAGAATTTAAAAGTTTCTTCTTCTAGAGCCATGTAACTTCTACTGTAAGTACATGTGGCCTTTATTTGCTTGTTTATGACAGCTATACATAGTCCTATTCCATAATACTAGTATGTATTAATATTAATACATTCTGCTATCATGTTTTATTTTGTTGAAAACTATCTTAAGCTTCGATGAATGAGAGATCAATGATTAAACTAAACATTCTGTTATTTATTATTTACATAGATTAAACATGGTTAAATTGAGATTATTTTATTAAATACTATGTAGGAATAAATTTGCCTCTTTTTTGGCAGACATGTGGTTAGAGAAAATTTTTCTAAGTAGACTTTTCCTTCTTGGGAACTTTACATTTTACAATTTTTGTAGGTAAGGGAACCCTTTCAGAGAAAAATGCCTACATAACAATAAGTGGAACACAGGGTTCCTTGTATGTATTTTGTTTATATTTTGTTCTATTGGTTCAAGTAGGATTGTATTCAAAGCAAAATCTGGCATTAGTACTGGGTATGAATGGCAAAAAATAATGTAAGCATGCTTTTGAATGAAAATGCAGTTGAAATAGTTGATATAAATATACACTGCATATTAAATTCAATTTTCACTTTTATCCAAAGCTTATTAAATTATAGGGAGGAATAATTAATTTAAAATATCAAAGTTAAGATATTTCATACCCATATAATGTTGATAAAATGGATTAATATATCACCTAAGCAGCCTTTTTTGCTATTAAGAATTTTTCCATAAAAAAGATAAAACATATCGTATTCCTTAGATTGATTTACCAAATAAATGTATTCATTAGTCTCAGAAGTCTGCTCTGGCAAATATAAACTAGTTTCATAGACTAGAACTGGTGTCAAACATTGACATTTTATTATGTATTTATTAAGTTACTTGTTTATTTAAAACAATTAAACTCTCATTAATACTGTAAAGACAAATCAATCAAGTAATAATGGAGTTAAAATATTTGAATTGTTAGCAGCAATCTCTTAATTTCTATCCTATTGCTGACCCAGGTAAATGGCTTTTTAAATATAAGATCTAAACTATGGGATGATGAAACATGTACTATGTAGATTTTCTTTCCTTTTGGGTACAGATACCTAAGCTTTATACCCATCGCACATTAATTTTATCAGAGATTGTCTAGTAACCCCACTCATAGTTACCAGTAAGCCCAGAAGTCTTGAACCATTTCTGATTGCCAACCTTAGAATGTACCTGAATTTCTATGTCAGGAAGTGGGGGGGGGAGGCTATCAAATATTTAAACACCACTGCCACCACCAAGATTAATTCATCTGGTTTAGTAAAACAGACTGCAAAATTGCAATTCAGGTCATGCACCAGTCAAACCTCTATTCTCCTATTTTATTTTCACAGACACAAAACAGAAACTTGCAAAAAGATGACAAGATACAGCATTTGTTAGAAGATTAACAGAATTATAATAAAATCCTAGATGCCTAACTCACCATCTCCAATCTCCATTTCCCAAGCTTGCCTACTGCTGCATAATTGTGATGATTAAATTAGACCACTAAAAAACTAAGCAGCCTTTTTGAGATGGTCCTTATTTCAAGTTTTAGCAGAATTCAGGGTTCATTAAAAAGTTATAATCTCAAGTAGGCTCATACAGAATTGCTGAGATGTACTATCCATTTAGAGAAGCAGTATTAAGATTCTTTTTTTTCCTAGAACTTACAAAAACAAAACAAAGCTCAAAAGAAAACTATTATTTATTTAGCAACACTCCATCCTGCATTTTTATTATTAAAAACAATTCCAAAGCAACATTCTTTAGAAATGTTATTGATTAGGTTATTGGCTCTTTTTTCTTCTTCACAGGGTTTTTCACGAAGAGTTTCCTTGCTCTTCGAAGCTTTTTGAAAACTCCGGCAAACATGCAAACTTGCCAGTCATAGAACCATCCCAAGATGAAGCACTACAGAAGAAAAGCATCAGGAGACTTAGGGATGGGCTATAAAGATTGTTGCCAATACAAGCCTCCTATTCAAAAATATTGCTTGTGGGTTGGAAAGTTTGGTATTCTTTAAAATTCTTTAATAATACATTAAAGATTTTTTTTTTAAAGTTGGACTGTGAAGAACTAGTCAGGAGGAAAATCAACTCATTTGAGCTGTGGCATTGGGGAAAGCTCCAGTGCATTCTTTAGACAGCAAAGGTAACAAAGAAGCAAGTACTGGAGCATATAAAACCAGACACATCGCTGGAAGGCAGAATCAGAAAATTCCATGTTGCTTATTTCAGCCATGTAATGCAATCAAACACTGGAAAAGGCAATTATGCTTGGAATGGTCAGCAGTAAAAGGAACAAAGCCACCCAAAAATACAGTGGCTAGATACCATCAAAGCTGACATCAGCCAGGGCACAAAACAACTGGAAGAAGCCACACAAGAACGGAAAATATGGAAAAAGCTGGTTCACAGAATCAGCACGAGTTGTATATGATTGAATGAATAGCACAGCATGGTTAATATATAAGTACCTACAGAGTTAGAGTATCCATGAGTGAACAAACCTGGTTCAAATTTATTTTTTCTTTTAAAATGATATTGAGCATAGGGTTTTATTCTTTTATTATAGATTTTCTACATTTCTTCCTCAAAATCATGGATAACCATGTAACTTCTGGGTTATTCCTCATTTGAACCAGAAAGCATTAAATTAGCATTTAATGATAATTATCTCATCTCGTCCGTGTTCTGAAATCTTTCAAAATGTTTTCATGGATGTATGCATGCATGATGATACAATTACAATAAATGTCATTTAGTATAATCCTTATAAATATCATTATTACTCTGATGTATCTACTGTTTTTGCTGAGCAGCAAAGGAAATAAAACATCAAAAGTTGAGGAATAGAAAAAGACATCAGTGAACACCTCACAAAGGCAACTATGTAATACTCCAGATGTTACTGAACTTTATAATTCTTATTCATGTCAGCCAGCTTGATCCAAGCAACTGGAATTACAGAATTTGTAATTCAATAATATTGGGAAGCCCCCAACCCTGCTCTATGGCCAATGCTCTTTCCTCAACTAAATTAATAGATTGGCAGCAGAAGTTCACTTCTCAACAAGATTGCTAAAATAACCATGTATCTTTACAAAGCATAACATCTTAGTTTTGTCTATAATTTGTACACCATGCCATCATATGCTGGGGAATGTTGCAAACAAGGCATAAGGAGAACAATCTTTTTCTTCCCATCTTGCTCTCTTGGGAACTTTTTACTTTGCTGAAAGCTAATAACAAGGCACTGTTTGGAAATATTTTTCTCTTATTAGACACTCTTCATGGAACATTTCAAATGTTTAATTGAATTGGGGCTTTATTGCTCTACATATATATGTATGCCCACTCTTTCTCACTTAATTATTTCATATGCTTTTGTTCCTTTGGAGGAATGTTCTGTTTTCAATCAAACAAGAACAGTAGCAACTTGACAGAGAGATTTACTGATTATTGAGAGAGATTCATATTTTTTGCTCCAGTAGAGACTGATAATATGTTTGGGGACTACAATTGTTAAGATAAAAGGTTCCCACACAGTATTTCATGTACTGTTTTTTAAAGGGACAGATTGATATGAATAGAAAAAGTGGAAGAGTGGTTTCTTGTTTAAATGCTGGCATGTATTTGTGGGCATGCTAACAATGTAGGAAATACATTGCTGGCCAAATAGTAAAGCATGTTAGAAGTGGTTTTGCATATGTTTTAGAGCAGTGGTCCCCAGCCCTGGTCCGTGGACCAGTACCGGGCCATGGCATGCCAGCAACTGGACCACACAAACAAGCAAAGCCCCATCTGCAGGATGCAGGCAGCACGCAAAACCACGCCCCCTCCAGTCCACGGAAAAACCTCTCTCCATGGAACCGATCCCTGGTGCACAGAAGATTGGGGACCTTTGATCTAGAGAACCATACAAGCAGGAAAAAGTCCCACACTCTCCGCTTGTTTGTGCAACACATACAAGGGAGAAAACAATTCCATTCTCGTGTCAAACAGTAATAATAATCAAGTAGATATATAATAGCTACTTCTTACAAGAATGTATTATCAAAATTAATATTTGCTATTCTAGAGGATTGCTATTCTCAAACTAGTCATTGAAAAGTATGGAGAGATATAGTGAACAATATTTGTGTACATTTGTTTTAGTTGCTTCCCTGTCTTATCTCATATTTTAATATCTTTGGCTTATTATTTCCTTCTTTCTACAAAGAAGTTTCAATGGTTGCCAATTGCTTCATGGATGTAACCAGGTTTTTAATTTAAATAAAACTGGATGAGAGGGGAAAGCTCTACTCCATTCTTCTACTTCCTATTCTCATTAAATTTGCTAAAAGAGAATTTGTTTTAGAAATTCTTTCAAGGAAAAGAATATTTCGGATAAATGTTTGCAAATGGAATCAGATGTTTTGCACTTATTTACTTGATGGCCAGAGATGTATGTCCTATCTTTTCCCCTACAATCACTCTTCCAGAGGTTTGCTATAACTTTTATTTCTTGCATTTCAATTATTTCCCTCACCAGCCTCAGCTACTGAGAAAACATTTAATAATTTCTTCTTTCCCTGGAAAAAGTGATCACCCATTCTCTGGTAGTGATTTGGTAGTGAAATTGGTAGTGAAATTCAAAAGGCTCTTTATGATCCAATCTAGTTCTGAAGCTTGAAACCCTGAGACAACTTTGCTTCCAGAGTTACACAATTGGTTCAGATTTCAACAATGTAGAATGTTGTCTTTTTCAGCAGCTATTTATCAAATACACAGAAAGTGCATCTGTTGTATAGCCTACTAAGCATGGAATCCAATCTCTTCAGACTTGAATTTGACCTGTTCTCTTTCTAATCATGGGTGGGTTTTTTTTTCTCCCCCACACCTTTTTAACCAGACCTTAGCACACTTTTATGATGTTTTTAATTTATATATGTATTTAATGATATTTTAATTACTTCTTTTAATTGCCTGGGCCATTCAGTCAGAGAAAAAGGCAGGATATAAATGCACAAGTAAATAATAATGAGGTGAAAACCATGTCCCTGTCTTGGTGGGGATGAGGGAAGGGAATATAATCTGAATTCTATCAAAGCCCTCTCACTTTCTAGTTTTATCTCTTGGTTGACATATTTTCCAAACTTCTTTTAAGCCCAAGGGAAACAAAGTTTTCCCATGAATGAGTTCAGCTGCAACTCCCCAAGGAATCTAAAGGACCATTTGTATAAAACAGTGATTCTGAAACATCAAGTGTCTTCCAGAGCAGGTAGAAAAGAAGTATTCCTTTTCAGATGCTTACTTAGGCCCAGAGTGAATCTAATGCAGCATTTACTTTGCATACAGTTAGAAAATGGTCAGCTGATACTGAGAAGAAAAAAATCTTCTTTCAATTTGTCTTCTGATTAATAACTCAATCTACTCTCTAAATGAACTAAGAAGTTCTCCTGAAATCTTCTACATGTGCAAGATCAATCCTACTAGCAGGGAGAACCCTATACAAGAGCTGCTAGGCGCAGTGTTTCTCAACCTTGACAATTTTAAGGCATGTGGACTTCAACTCCCAGAATTCCACAGCCAGCAATGCCTTACACATGCCTTAAAATTGTCAAGGTTGAGAAACACTGTTAGTGGGACAGCAATGAATGCCTCCCTGCAAGTCTCATGCATGCTGTACTCACTCATACTTATTAAAGAGTATTCGGCTCCACAGCTAGCCCATTCCTTCTGGTATGATGGTGCAGTAAGATTCAGCTATCAATCCAAATGGTTACTGTGCATGGAGCTGGGATGAGAAACCATCCCGAACTTTGTCTTAGGTGGGAAAACACCTTTGGCCCATTCTAGGTCTCGGTTCATACAACATACTAAATCTGCCTCTGAAGCTACACATTTTGTGGTTTTACACAATACCTTGTATATAATTAACCAAGAGGCTGACTTCATATAATGTGTAAGCCGTCAAAATAAAACTGAAGTTGAATGGTAGTCAAGGTTAGTATGAGTCACCAATGTTAGCATGCTATGCTGCTCTACTCTAAATGATTCTTGTGTGTGGAAAACGGATGACAAAGAGCAGCAAATAGCAGCAACATCTACAGTTGGATAGCAACATTATTCATCAACATGGTTGATTGCAAAAAGGTAAATATGGTTGGATTTGGTTAGTAGTCTGATGGAAGGAAGCCATGAAATCCCAAGGCTGGGAGGTTGAAAAAGTCTCCTGGAAGTCGTAAACCACTTTGGCATTCTTGTTAAAATCAAACACCCTGCAGGAAAGAAATAACTTGAGCAGCTGCAGCAAGGATTCAGCTGCCAACACATGCCTCAGGTTGTTGCACTACCAGTTCATCCATAATTACAAGACACACACCTTTAGTTTTACCTAATATAACAAATGGCAAGGGGTTGTAGTTGTCCTCTGAAACAGTCAGAAGGGTCTACCTTTGCTCTTCAGTCTCACTCTGGGCTCAAGGAATGGGCCCACAACACTGCCCGGAGTCTGCTGCAATCTAATCCCATCCGTAGACCTAGCACCAAGGGAGCACCTGCTCTGGCAATCACCCACCTGCTCCCCGCCCCCCCCCGCCCCCGCCCCCGCCTCTCCCTCCAAACGGCGACTTAAATTCGTAGTGGCCTGCCTTTGCTACCTCGCCTATACACTGTGAGGGTGGGCTGCGCTGACTGAGGCCAGCCCTCTGCGACACGCAGACGCCATCGCCAACAAGCCAGCACACGCGCTTAAGCCAGCGAGGACCACCACCGGGCCGTCGGGCTCTCCCTTCTGACGGGCGCAACGGGCTAGTGGCAGCATCCCCAGAAAAAAGAGGCGCTCGCAATTGGGGTCGACTGGCCAGAGCGCCGGGGCTGTCTTGTAAGACAAGAGGCCGGTCACTGCTTAGGAACTTGCACCTGTGGGCATCCTCTTGGCGCGCGAGCCGAAGGGAGAAACCACCTCATCACTGCCCCGGTGGTGCCAGACCCTGGATGCCAGCTGCTCTCAGGATAAAAGCGCAGCAGCCTTCGGGTTTCCTTCCTTTTGGCCACACCCGCCCCCATTTTTGCTTCTTCTCTTTCACATCAGAGCTGCCCTTGGTTTAAATAGCGCCCCTCCCACTCAGGTTTTCCTTTCCCGGACTGGTTGGGCATCCCGCTTGACCTCCGCGGGGCGGCTCTCCGGGTCTCCCTGCCCGTCTCCCAAACCTCAAAGCCACGGGCAAGGGAGGGGCAGAGCGCGAGGTGAGAGAAAAGCCAGCGCCTTAGGGCCCGAACTGCGGCGCCTCTCCGAGAAAGTAAAGGGTAGGCGACGGGGCGGGCCGAGGCGGCAGAGAGCATCCAATGACCGCCCCGGAAAGCAGCCGGGGGCTGAGCCCGGCGCGTCGCTATCCAATGGCCGTGGACCAGCCGAGGGCGGGAGTAAAACGTTGGGAGCTGGGAGAAGTCGGAGAAGGAGAAGAGTCCGGAGTCGGGCGGCGCGTTGTCGGCGGAGGTGCTGGTGTTCGCTTTGCTCTCGCTCCGGAACCCGTTATACTAGCTGCGTAGTCGCTGCGCAGGAGCGCCCGGAGGTTTCGAGGAGTCCAGAGGGAGAGACCAACCGTAGGAGCGAGTTTCTTTGCCCGCCTGCCTCTAGGAGAACTTCAGCTGGACCGCGGAGCTGCTGGTAGCCAACAGGAAACTTTTCTGGAGCAGCCGGAGGAGGCAGAGCTCCGTCGCCGTCGCCGCCGCGCGGCTGGGCTGCTCCACGCCGGGCTCGGGGAGTGCGAGTGGACTTGCGAGGGCTGCCTCGGCCCTGGCCGCGATGTCCCTGGCCACGGACGCCGCGGGGCGGAGGCGTCGGGGTGTCGGTGGCGACTGGCCCTTGCCCGAGGGGTGGCTGCTCCTCCTGGCGCTGCTGGTGCTCCCGGGGACGCCCGGGACGCGGGCTTTCGTCTGCCTGCCTTGCGACGAGTCCAGGTGCGAGGAGCCCAAGAACTGCCCCGGCGGCGTCGTCCTGGACATCTGCGGCTGCTGCTTCATCTGTGCCCGGCAGCGCAACGAGAGCTGCGGCGGCTTCTTCGGGCTGCACGGCGCCTGCGACCGCGGGCTTCGCTGTGTGATCCGCCCGCCGCTCAACGGCGATTCTCTCACCGAGTACGAAGCGGGAGTCTGCGAAGGTAAAACGCGGAAGATCGTGGTCTCGCTCCGGTCGGCGGAGCAGATAGCCGCTCCGCCCCCGCGCGAACCCAAGAGCCCGAAGCAACGCGTGGCTTGGTACGGTTGCAGGGCTCTGCCCCGAGTGGAAAAGGGCCCTGTGAGCCCCCTGGCTTTATGCTTATATCACCCTCCCGAGTCTCCCCCCCCCGCCCCAATAGTGGCACTTCAGGTTTCCTTTCCAGCCTCTCCATTTTTTCCGACGCACAATCGGGGTGTAATGCAGCTGTAAGTACCTTGAAAACCGCTCGCGAAATTCAAGGAAAGGTGGTAGCTTCTTCGAATGTGGCGTGTTCGTAGGTTCCATCTCTCCCTCCCAGGAATATTTTCCATTTGTCTATGTCATGCTCCTGTGTGTATACACACACACACACACACACACATATATATAAATTGTATATAAATATATAAATATATTGTATCCACTGTTTAAAAATATAAAGAGGAGAGGGGAAAGGCGCTGATAGGGGTGCGCGTATGTTTCCAAGGACTGAAGGGTGTTTGGTTCTCCCGTTTCCTCTTTTGCGCCGCCACCATCACCACCCCCGCGCCTTTTTCTTGCTGTTTTCATAGGTGTTAGGTTTCAAGATGGATTTTAATTGGACCGCAAAAATAAAGCGGGTTTTTGTGGTATTAGTACAAAAATGTTAATTTGGTCATCAGTTCGTTGCTCTGACTTCGCTATTTTCCTGCTGGCTTTTACAACCCAAATCACGAACAGGCTTACCTGGATGTTGATGGCTATAATCGACTGACTTTTCAATCATATGTATAAAGTTACTTATCGTGTGTCAAGAGGAACTCAACTTTTACCTAGTTGTGCTGAAGGGAGTCCTAGCATTTTAATCTTTCTTAATAAATGTATTTTCAAAACATTACTAAATACAAATAAGCTGTTTATTCAAAATTATTTTGGCATTCTGCTCCCAAGAGGGTTGAAAAGAATAATTGCCCAATTGCATACTTGTATGTTAGCTAAGTTGGGGGAAAAACTCATCTTGTTTTCATTTCTATAAATAGGAAGCATGTTGTATTATATATATATATATATACACACATACATATATATATATATATATACACATACATACATTTATATATATATATATGTATATGTATATGTATATATGTATATATATATATGTGTATATATATACATATCACATTTTTCATAATTATTCTTTACAATGAATATAATTGGAAACATTTAAATATTTTGTCTGCTAGTTGTCTGCCCAAATTGTATGTGAGAATTCAGTCTCTCCATTATAACTTTTCATTCTGCAGTCTAAGGGAATATAGTGCATATGACAATGAGAATTTTTTATGGAAAATTCCTTTTCACTTCCCTCCCATAAGAATGGCTTTCTGTGACCCACAAGAGGGCTGCAGAGAGCTCAAAAATTCCTCTGAAAAAAATGGCAGGAAAGTCATCTAAATGCTCCCAGCCATGCATAATTTAAAGAATTCTTACTTCCCTTTTATCCCTAAAAATCTCCAGATTTATCCTTTGGGATGGCCACTACAGTTTATTTTAACCTTATTTTTGGAACTAAGATTCCTTGTGTGCTTCAGTATAGTTTAATTGGTAAGATGAGAGCTATCAGAATAGACTCAGACTTTTAATAACGTGCTTGGAGTTGTGGTTCCTTTGCATGGAGGTTTTAAACTAAAGGAGTTACAAGCATATTAAGCTGAATGAAATGGCTTTCATGAAAAGTGCATGTTTATCTGTAATTATAGTGAATGTTTATACTAGAGCAAATTCTGCCATAACACCTCAACACTCTACTTCATTTTAGTTCAGAGGTTTTTGACAGTTTTAAGAATTGTTTAAAAGTAATGTATTTGATAGTTGGACTTCAGCTATTACTTTGTATCTGGCATTCCCCTGAAGCAAATAGCACAGGTAATCTCTAGAGATGACATTTCAGGCAACAACAGAAATGTAATATTTATCCCAGCTTTTCCTGTCCCAACGTCTCCAAGAACACAACCTGCTGAAATTAGTCAAACTATTTCCAGATAAATAGCTTACCTACACAACTCTAGTTTCATCTTCAAAGCTTTAAATGATGACTTCGGCTAAGCTCTTGGTAATTATAGCTAACTTTGGATTTTGCAACATATATGATTGAGCTTGTAGATAAGAATGTTAGTTTTGAAGTCTGTTGATAGTTCCAGCAGTTACATTAAAGTTGGTGGATGAATTACTTGCTTTTCATCTATTAATTAAACATCTTTCAAAATTGGGAACACTCTTGTCATGAATATTATGTGTGGATAAAAGCCTGTTTACCTCAAAAGAATAGGTCTTGTGTTTCCACAGAGCTTCCTCTTTGAGTCAGCTTATTCTGTTATAATTTTTGTGCTGAAATGACCCCTACTGGTCAGTATGTAGAACTTTTAAAGAAATCTTCTAAAGGTTTGGTTTCGTGACATTAAACTATGTTTCTTTATTCAGCCAATAAGTTACTGTTTAAGACAAATATGTATACTTGCCTCAAATCTAGTGAAAACAGGATTTTTGAGACAGGAATGCTGAACATAATTGAAAGTATTTAGTATGCTGGTAGTTTAATTAGAGAGTGATGATTTATGCTACATTTGCTTTGCATATTTTATGTAAATATGAAATAGCATCTTTCTGCCAATAGTAGGATAAGCACAAATGGCAGCTGGGTCAGATTCCGGCAGCTGTTAATGTTATTGTTCACTATTTTGTATGCTTTGCGTGATCAAACATAAAGGAAAGATGTTCCTTATTGACATCTATAATTTAATTTGCTAACTTGTTGAACAAATATGCTTTTTGTGTAAATGACTTTATATTACTAATGATAAGAGAATAACCTTAAAATAATAGTGACAAAATGATATTCCCTTAAAAGAAAGATATTGAATGTGGGAGAAACTCACCCCCCTCAAAGAATAAAAGCTGCTTAATTGATTTTAAAGCCCAAAAGATTAAACAACAAAATAAAGTTTCTCAGTGAAACCTGTATCAACAGAAAGTGAAAGAATTTGCCATGACTTTCATAAAAATACTCAGAATTTGGCCCAAATACCCTATGAATAGGATACGGTTTAGATTTTCCTCCCAATCATTGAAATCATAGAGTCCTTGTTCTGAAGCCAACCCTTTTTGTACAACTTGTACATTTCCATAATTCAAAAATGAAGGTTAGAAAAACACACACACACCCCATATCATCTGGAAACTTGCAGAGCCTATTGCATAAAACAAGTAAGTCTTGGATGCATTTTTTTTAAAATAACGATATGAGTATCTATTATTATTTGAGCAATGAATGTATCATAGTAGTAGTAGTAGTAGTAAAGTTGGAAGGGACCTTGGAGGTCATC